CACACACACACACACACACACACACACACACACACACACACACACACCCCCTCCCAAAACCTGAAAAAAAGACTCAGAGCCCGGTCCTGGCTCTTGGCACCTGCCGTCACCCCTCCCTTGTTGAAGACTAGCTGTCTTCTAGCAAGACATCCGGGGTCCTTCTGCCCCGAGACGATCCCCCTCACCTCAGGTGTCCAAAGCTGTAGAAGCGGGACTCGCCGTCAGTGGAGCGGACCACCTGCAGCGTGAACATGGGCTGCAGCTGTCTGAGCTCCAGCAGGACAACAGCCAGGTAGTGGATGAAGAGGAGGGCGTCCACGAGGGAGACGGCGTATTGCACGATGCCCTGGTAATTTCGGTCCCGAGAGTCCAAAATGCGGACCCCGTAAAAAAGCCAATAGGAGACCACGAAGAGAAAGATGAGGACCAGCAAGAGCGCACGGAACACGAGGATCCGTGGCACGTCGGCTCTCTGCTTGCGGAAGAACAGCGCCCAGGTCCCGATGAGCAGAATCAGGAGCTTGAACGCCATGGAGATGAAGAGTCCCTCGCAGATGGTGCCACAAGGCTCCAGCTCCTCCCGCCACAGGATGGGCGGCAGCAGGATGAAGGCGATGGGGGTGAGGAAGACCAGGAGTCCGAGCACCGTGGCGACGGTGAGGCCCAGGTAGCGCCTGCAGTCCAGCCCCACGCTGTCCTCCATGTCCTTGCTGATGCGGGCGATGTCCTCCTGCGAGATGCTGTGCTCCGACGTGCCTGTGATGGCCGTGGTGGTCTCCCCCCAGTTGTCATCCTGACAGGGAGAGAACAGTGAGGATGAAGAGCCACATGGCAGGTCACGTGTGAAAGCCACAAAGCCCGCGGGGGCTCGGGGGACGGGGAGGGCCCACCTCCTTCAACCAACCCACATGAGCGGGCTTCCTGGGAAATGGAGGCTTAGCTCTTCAAACAGAGGAATTTTTTAACTTTAACAATTTTCATTGAAATTTTTCAAAATGTATTATATATCTACCTTTTCAAACAGAGAAAACATAATTTGACCTGTTTGTGTGTTTGGGTGATTCGTGACTACAACAGTGATTATCATCCACTGTGTTGGCGTCCCTGAGAGGCTCGGGGATAGACAAATCCTGCTGTCAGACTAACGTGTGCGAGTGCACCTACCGCCTAAGGAGAGAAACCTCGCACTTCCTTCTTGATTCATGGCTGCGCAATAAAGGCTTACTTTAAAGCCCAACCCCTGAGTGGGGAGCATTACTACGTCCTCCAGGAGCTCTGAGGAGGGAAGATCTTGCACAGGAGGGAAACTTACATGGCTACATACATATCAAAAGCCACCTGTAGTTGGTACGCACATTTTGTAAAACTCCATGATGTTTTCCATAAGTATTAAGCAATCTGACAACATTTCTCATTGAACAAGCTAAGCAGATGCAAGTATCTCTGGCCAGGAGAGCTCAAACATTCCTCCCTAAACACATGTTCTCATGGCAAACTAAACATCAAGAGCATAAAAATACTGAGATTGGGCTTCCCTGGTGGCGCAGTGGTTGAGAGTCCGCCTGCCGATGCAGGGGACACGGGTTCGTGCCCCGGTCCGGGAAGATCCCACATGCCACGGAGCGGCTGGGCGTGTGAGCCATGGCCGCTAAGCCTGCGCGTCCGGAGCCTGTGCTCCGCAACGGGAGAAGCCACAACAGTGAGAGGCCCGTGTACCTCAAAAAAACAAACAAACAAAAAAAACCACTGAGATTACTAAAATGTGTGCCTTTTACTTTCTTACTTTCACTGTCTCACTTTCTCTTGCTTTTTAAAGTCTGAGGTAGTTTGGAGTGATTGTCTCTTCATTTAACATGATCCGGTTGCCAGTGTTTTAAACAATTTCTTTACTTCTCTAGCAACTATGATGTCGTTCCAAAGCAACAACAGACCGAGAAGACAATGAAAAGCCACATTGGGTCCAAAGAGGTTTTTGCCTCAGAAATTTGTGTACATGACTTAACTCGGAAAAAACAGTCAGCCATGGTGGTAAGTTGGGTGCAATTAATGCGTAAGATACCAATTTAGAAAAATCTAAGTTAATAGCTGAATCAGCAAGATAGAGATCTCACAGCCAAACGATAACCTCAAATCTAGTAACAATCAAAAAAATTAGGATTCATGAAATGTATAAGCTATGGCAAGAAATAGTGGTGGCGGCAGGGAAGGTCTCGACCTGCGAACAATAGGTCTTCAACTCGGAAAGTTACAAGTATCAAGTACTATGAGGGAAGTTACTAGTTAAGATAACAGCCAGAAGCAACCGCTACTCTCACTGCTGGTAGAAGTTTAAAATGGTACAATCACTCTTGAAAACTGGTCTGGTAGTTTCATATAAACGTAGATTTACACTTAACTGTATGGCCCAGCAATCCTACTCCCAGATTTTTACCCCAAATAAATGAAAACATATGTCCACAAAAAGATTTGAACCAGAATGTTCTTAACATCTTTTATTTTCATGCCAAAAACGATGCAACCCAAATGTCTATCCACCGGGAGAATGGATAACAAATTGTGGTATATTCATACACTAGAACACTACTCAGCAAAAATAAAAAAGAATGAATTGCTGAAACACAGCAAAACATGGATGAATCTCAAAGTTATTATGCTGAGTGAAAAAAAGTCCAAAACAAAAGAATATGATTCCAATTATATTAAATTCTAAAACAGGCAAAACTAATCTACAGTGATAGAAATCAAAGCAGGGCTTGCCTTAGAGGGCAGGGGTTTGGGGGCAGGGATTGACTGGGAAAGCATAAGAGAACTTTCTAGAGTGAAAGAAATATATCTTGATAGGAGTGTGGGTTATGTGGGTTTATTCAGCTATTACAACTTTTCAAACTGTACACTTAAGATCTGTTCATTTCTGTGTGTGAATTTACTTCAATTTTGAAAAAGAAAAAAACATAAGCACGAGAAGAAACAGCCACACATTCAAAGATGGACAACTTGCTTTAACATAAGGTGAGTTTACAGATCAGTAAAGTTACTTTGTAACACTCTTCGTGAGGGCAAATATTGGATTCCATGTTTTGTATTGGGCCGAATGTTCAGCTGATGATCAGTGTCGAAATAATGATCACTAGTATTATGGTCATTTTGTTATGTAGCTGATTTAGCTACTCACCCTTTTTCCTGCCAAAGAGTTGCTAACTAAATCCCCTGTCCATTTTAAGAGTATGTGCACATCTGTGCCTAAAAAATGAAGATGTCCAACAATCTTCCCAAGACTGAGGTTCTTAGAAGAGAAAGGATCTTAGATCCTCTATCTCAATCCCCTGGATTTTCAATGAAGAAACTGAGGCCCACAAAGGTTGTGAATGCCCAAAGTCAAGTCACATAGCCGCTGAGAAGTACAGCCTCCAGATGCCCACTTCAATGCTTTTCCCTGGTGTAAACACCAACAGCTTCCTAACGTAGCTTCCTAGTGAGCTACAAGATGTAGAGAAGATGACAGACGAAATGCCTTCACAGTGGGCCACCAGCACCTCTGAATTCACATCCAGGAGGAAACTGACCCCTGCAGCACTTAAGGGTGGCCCAGTCTTAGGACTGGCCCCATCCATCCAACCATTCCTCTGGCCCTCTGGCTCTCCATCCCTATGACTGCCCCAGAGCCAAGGCAGGCTGTGCAACAGTAAGGACTAAAGGCACTTACTTACCACTGAACAAACCCCACATTCAACCACAACTGCAGCTTTGGCTTCTACGAGCATCTTGCATGCTCTGAGGAATTCCAATTTCAGTCCATACATCTGCTTATAAATGCACATCTGTCTGTACCCATAGGTACACACAGATGCATGCTTATCTATATCTTTACAGCTGTGTGGGCACACATCAGTTTATTTGGGGCTAAGGCTAGACATGCATATACTTCAAGGGGCTGTGCAAACATGTTTCTGAGTATAGCTCAGATGTTTATTCAAATCAAGTAGACTGTGAGACAGCTGGGACCCAGAGAGAAGAACACACACGATATTTTAAAAAAATTAATAGTCCATATTTTAAAATTGGGTGATTTCACATAAAATCCTAACTTTCAGCTTCTCCTAAATATTGCAAGACCCAGGAACACTTAATTCCTGCATTCCTGTTGCTTCCTTGACAGAGGAAATGCATTCTCCAGGTGCCAGATTCCATCACTCCATGCCACAGCCCTGACACTGACACGCCACACAGATTGCTATTTACTCCCAAGCTAGCCTGATATATTTTTGCCTCTTCTGTGTAACCCAGGGTCTATTTCACTCACCTATGTTTCCCTAGCAGGCATCTAAGTGTACAGCTCCAGGTTTAGTGAGGCTTCGTCTGGGCTGTCCTAACCTCTCAGCTCTTCTTCCCTACATGACTTAAGGTCTCTGGAGAGCGAGTTTCCTTCTCTCTTACACTGTTCTACTTTGGAATGAGTCTCCAGAGCCTGCAGCCTGCAACTTTCCCTTCTCTGCTCTGTCGTCAGCCTTGCCGGTTTCTTTTCAACACCATTCAAAGGAGGCGAACCAATCACACTTCAGAAGAATCCTCAAGCTAGCCAATGGTAGGTCAGGCTGTCCTTAGACCAACAAGAAACCACAGGATACAGATAAACTAATTAACATGCTAGAAAAATAAAGATAAAAACCCAAGAGAACCTATTACAACAAGACTTAGGAAAACATTTACAGAAAAGAGGCTTGATCAAGTACCAGTGTACTTACAGACTGCCTTTGATCCTCACCTGAGCTTCCTCTGTCCGAGTAGAATCATTTGCCAACAAGGGCTCTCCGGTGGGAGCTTGAATGGTGACAGATTTTTCTGACCCTCTGCCATCTTTATTCCGGGGTGATTTGTGCCTCTCTCTATTTCTTTCCCTGAAAAAAAATAATAAAAGATAAATCCGCTAGCACATTTATGCCATGTTAATTAACCCTCATCAAAACATGTTATAGGACCTCCTTGGTGGTGCAGTGGTTAAGAATCCACCCACCAACACAGGGGACACGGGTTCGAGCCCTGGTCCGGGAAGATCCCACATACCGCTGAGCAACTAAGCCCGTGCACCACAACTACTGAGACTACGTGCCACAACTACTGAAGCCCGTGCACCTAGAGCCTGTGCTCTGCAACAAGAGAAGCCACCGCAATGAAAAGCCTGCGCACTGCAACGAAGTGTACCCCTGCTCGCCGCAAGTAGAGAAAGCCCGTGTGCAACAACGAAGACCCAACACAGCCAAAAATAAATAATTAAATTAAAAAAATATTGTTAAAAAAAAACATGTTCTAAATTTCATTTTGAATTTAAGAAACTTCTACACACACACACACCCATCCCACCCCCCGGGAAAGAGTAAGCTGATCTTTACTCCCTACTTACTATTTTCTTTCTGCCACTCCAAGACCCAAAAAAAGACTGTCACTTCTTCTCTATCAACAGTGATCATATTTCTTCAAAGCCTAATACTGTGAACTTTAGAATTTCTGTAGGTAAGGCACATTTCATTGAAAATCACTGACTTGAGTTGATCATAATTCGCCTAAACTTATTTTCTAGGACTTTTTTCTATTGGGACAACACAGCAAAATACTTAAGCTTCGGTCTGTCCAAAAAAATCTGGGACACACTGTCACCCTACACCTTTGGACAAGAAGAGAAGAAAGGAAACCCTAAACCAATACAGAGAATCAGTTACTTCCCATTACTACAAATTCAAAACTAAAAGTCATTCCCATAGATTCTAGATGAACTTAAAGCACCCACAGAAACAGGCAAAAGTTAGAGCAAATGACCCCAAGAGGTACACACATGGGTGTGTGTGTGTGTGTGCATGTGTGTGTGTTTTCAGGCCCCCTAAGGAAAGCAGGCTGTTGTACCATTTTACCCCAGATGAAGTTCCTGGGTGGTCTTCCAGGGTGACAATGAGCGCACCCTGCTGTGGGTCAATGCTGAAATTAGGAATCAACCACTGTGCAAAAGCCCAGGGGTCATGACCTAGCCATTAACCACCTATGGAGACTGGCACCCCTACCCTCAACTGTGAAGAGTCAACCCAGGAGCCCCTCCAAAGGAGCCCCTCAGTGGCCAAGAATAAGTTCCCTCAAACTCCGTCCCGCAGGCCGCCCTGACATCAGTCCTCCTTCCTTCACCCACGTGCCCTCCTCCCCAAGGTCTCCCAGGCAGGACAGAAGCATCGCACACACACGCTACAGAGACAGACGGTCAGATTTTGGTTCTGCCCCTACCTGATGTGTGAGCCTGCACACGTTACTGAACCTGCCAATTAAAGAATGTCGCTCACCAGTGGCTCTAAGAGGATGGAGTTGCTAGCCCCTGCTGTTGCCGACCTTCCACACACCCTGAAAGGAGTTCAGGGCAGAGATCAGGAAGGAGGCGCTCTGTGCTCTGGGAACACTGGCAGAACAGCCCTTCAGACAGTTAGACATTTTCAGGAGAAAATGTTATGAACCCAATTTCTCGCATCTTCTCACACCTAGAAAAGCACTAAAATCATTAAAGGAGACGTCTGCTCCTCGTGACCAGCAGCAACCTTCTTCTACCAAGATGTGTGCCTGCTTGCATGTACTCCTTTCGTCAAGTCATATATATGCTGACCTCCCCCACTACCTCTTCAGAGCAGTTCCTCAGAGCCATGTGAGAGGCTGTCTCCCAGGCTTTAGCCTTCAGGAAGCCCCAAATAAAAGTGACCTCACAGCTCTCATGTTGTGTTTTATTTCATTTGACAAGCCTCTGACAAACCTCAGTTTCATCATCTATGCAGTGGGGATAACGATCTCACCACATAGACACAGGGATGTGAAATAATACACCGTGGCTATTATTACTGCTATTACTATCCACACATGGCAAAGAATGGTGGCTTGACTTGGTGAAGCAGAGTACGTGTTCCTCGGAGACAGATGAAAAAGAAGCTTTTAACACACAATCAAACCCCCTCCCCCTGCACAGCATCCCTCCTATTAACCTACTACTTAGCTAACAAAACCACATGCAGACTTTCTGTGGTCAAACTTCTGCTTTATCAGTATCTCCCTAGGATAAGCCCTGGTTAATTCCTTCAAAGGGCAGGGAGGCTTCAGTTGTCCCAAAGACGCTTTCAGTGATACCATCTCTAATCCCTGTAGCGTAATTTATCACTACAATCTATTGTTAAATTAGAGTCCAGAAATAGATGTGTTCGGGTCAACTCTGGTGTTTTATTTTAACTGGGCAACTAAGGAAACAGCAAAGAGATGTTTGTTTATCCAGGGGTGTGTCTCACTGCCAATCACTCCACTGCCCACCCCAATTTAAAGAGCACTTTACCAAGTGCTTTCTTATATTAATCTTGTTCAATCCTAACAATAACCCTATGTGGTATTATTGTCTGCATTTTATAAATGAGGAAACGGAGGCTCACAGAGGTTAAGTGACTCCCCAAAGTCATAGCAAGTGGCAGAGCAGGATGTGAACCGACTGCCTCGATTCAGACCCGCTCTGCGGCACTGACTTGAAGAGCAACTGGAAGATTTTGTAGCATAAGTATTCCTTATGCTCATTCCCACACCCCGAACTTGATGAACTTACCAGAGCTATGGAATCTGCCTTTGAAGCTACTGCTAGAAGTCATGACTTGACCCTGACCTTGGAGAACACAAAGCAGTGCACCCAGCACTCTGGGCTGCCAAAGACAACCACTTCAAAAGGACTCACTGTGAGAAACAATAAGCAATGGGGGAAAGTTTTCCCATGTGTCTGATCAGTCTTAGCTGTTTAGACTAAGTCTGGAATCGCTGTTCCCCAGGACCCCCACCTTGGTCAGGCCAGACCGAGGCACTGCTCCTCTTACTGTGTTTCTACTTTCCCCAACTGCTCTCACATCTATCACTGTCCTGCCATCTGCCAGGTCACGTGCTCCCCTAACCCATCAATCTCTTCACTAGTCCCACGGGTCAAATCCTGTGACAGCACAAATTCCACTGGAAATCAAAATTCTTCCACCGAGTGCCAATTCCTGCAGGCTGAACACTACCAGGGCCGGAGCGGGTAGGGAACCACCCAGGGCTGGAAACAGTCTCTCAGGGGCCAGCCCTTCCTCGACCCGACCCCAACTGGCCCAGCCTGGCCCTTAAAGGGCCCGACAGTCCCCAAAGGAGACGCGATCTCTATAGTTCCCCTGGTAACATCAGAAGTAAACCAGATAAGAGCCCATTACCTGACAACTCCAGGAAGGTTTCTCATCCTCCAAGCCCAAAACCCTAAACCACTGCTTCTCACACGTGAATGTGCAGACAAGCCACCTGGGGTGCAGAAGAAGTACAGATTCACTGGCCCCATCCCCAGAGAAATAGTCTGGAGAGGAGAGACACCAGGAATCCGCCCTTTTCATCAGCACCCCAGGTGATTCGAAGGCAGGTGGTCCAGGAAACTCTGCCCAAGGCTCTCCCACCCAAATGGTCCTGGGGGAGGAGGTTGTTGGAGCGACTACTCAGAAGTTTCCCTGTTTGTAAAATGCCCTGTATACAGCGGGGGCTCGATAATGGGAGCTGTGAGTGCAGCGCTCAGCTACACAATGTTGCAGTGTACAGCGTGGCTTCTATACTAAAACAGCATTAAGTGCATGAGGCTGGGAGCAGGACTCAGGACAGCGTGCATCAGGCCCAGATCTGCCTTTGAAGCTACTGCTAGAAGTCATGACTTGACCCTGACCTTGGAGAACACAAAGCAGTGCACCCAACACTCTGGGCTGCCAAAGACAACCACTTCAAAAGGACTCACTGTGAAAAACAATAAGCAATTGGGGAAAGTTTTCCATTCACTGTCAAGTAAGGGGCCGACGGAAAGCTCACCCTATCAACTCAACGTGGGCTGCATGTCGTGCTGGTCCTTGTCAAGGGAGAAAGACCTGTTGTACAGCTTTTATAAAAATCACTGGTCCTGAATTACTGCTCTGAATTACTGTCTGAGCCCGGACTACACAGAGAAGTCCAACAAAAAAGGCTGCCTTCCAAGTGCTTTCCAGCATGCAGAGCTATGAGCCCAGTATGGCTGTCGCTTCACTGCATCGGTACCCAAACGTTCATCCCCAGAGCTCCAACTGCCGTGATGTCAAGGAAGTGCTAAGTACCCTCCAGGAGAGGGCCCGCCAGTGGTGAAGACCACCAGTCCACGGTGTCTAAGAGAAACAGGAGACAGGGAGTAGGCTACCAAACCACTGAAAGGATTTTTCAAACACACGCGCACTTGGTGTTTCTCCAACTCCACCCGAGTTGTCTGGATCACCTAGGCATCTTTGCTGGGCAGGTGTGTCAGCCCCAGGAATCCTCGTATCTTTATCTCTGAGCCTGTCTCCATGCATCATGTGCCCGTATGAGTAAAGATAAGTCAGGGGTCGGGGCAAGCAGTAACATGCTGGAGGCCTGGGCATGTGTCTGTACCCGCACGTATGTGAGTGTGTAAATGCTTGTATTCAGGCGATTCCAAAGCTGAGCCCTGGGGGTGCTGCTGTAAAGCCCGTCTCACTCTGACCAGAATCCCCGTCGATTCCTAGACCGTTCCCACTTACAGTCAGCATTTCCTGGGAAGATGATTTTGCCCTCTTTCTGTTGTTTGTCTATTTCTACTTGGGGAAAGCCAGCCCCACCGGTTACTCTTCCCTTTCCTTCTCTACCACCACCCACTACCTGTCCTTTCTCCACCAATTGCGACTGCCGGGGCCTGGCTGCTTTCTCTCGGCACTGCCTCGGGTGCGAGGGCTGGGCACAGGACAAACTGACTTGGAAGCGGCCTCGGAACAAAAGCACAGATCCCCCTACCGCTCAGGCAGCCTCTTGTGGACAATGCATTTTATAGTACCTTAGTCACATGGCTTACCCTCCACTCCCTTTCTTCCCTATCAGTTACTCTGCCGCTCTCCACCCAGCACAGCCCAGGGAGGAAGGCATGGCTTCCAGAGGAGGACTAAACGGGGCCTTAAACCTCAGGGTCTCTACCAACCTCATAACTTCAGGCAAATAGTGCTCTCTCTGAGTCTCAGTTGTATCACCTGTTGAACGGGGGTCCCACCTCCCACCGTTCTGGGACTGCTGTGAGGATGGGGGATAATGACCAAGGGTCCTAACAGGCACTCTCAAACTGGTCATGAACAGTACTGGCAGCCGCTGGTATTGAACTCGGGGAACTGGTACTCCAAAACCCAAAGGCTAGGCGAGGTCGGCTGGAGTCTGTGCCGTTTTCCCAGCAAGTTAACTGGATACCCTCTGGAGATGGCAGGTATCACAAAACCAGACCACTAACCTCTTTGTTAGAAAAGAGTCACTTGTCATCTGCTTAGAACCCAGCCAGTCCTCCAAAGATGATCTCGGTGTCATCAGGAATATCAAGTTTGCTGCCCTTCATTATTCCCCGCTGACAGTTCTACCAAGATTCCTGAAGAGCAAACAAGCTCCCTCTCCTTTCCTACTCTGCCACTCAAATTCCCAACAAATCCCTGAGCAAAGCAGCCCTCACAGGGACACTCCCGGTGATAGAGACCCTCTGCTGGGTCCGGGGCACCCACCCCGACAAAGGACTCCCGGCACCTACTCTCTATGGATTACAACCTCTGCCCCACAGTCACTATGCCCTAGAGGGCTGCCTGTCAGGGAATCCAACTCAGAGGTTGTTGCTTTTCTAAAGATGCCAGGAAGTTCACCTATAAATCTTGAATCTCTCACCCCGAGCTCTTCTGAGTAGGCATTCAGCAACACCCTTGGTTAAATTATTAAAGGTCTCAGCTTGTATTATTTGCCAAGTACTTTCCGCAGGGGTCCAAGAAGGCCCTCAGAGTTCTGCATGCTGTTTTCATTGAAAGTTACAGTCTCCTAAAGTTACCACGAGAGCACTGCAGTATCAATTTCTCGGGGCCCCAAGGGGCCTGAGGAAACAGCAGTGCAGAGCAATGACAGTCGGGACACGAGTCTAGATAAAGGAGGCCAGAGATGGTTCCTCCTCTGAACACTGCAAGGCGTCCCTCTCTACTCACCCCCAAGCACCAAGAGAACCCCAAATTCCCACTCCACTCATCACAGTGTAGGATGGGGAAGCTTGGCACACTGACAAGGGAATTGCTTTTTCCAGTTAAGTTCAAAGATTGGACATTTTTACACAGCTGTTTCTAGTATTTTAGAACAAATCTGATATGTTTACCCACTGATTGAAATTTGTGATTAAATGTTTCTCACCAGAGGGTTCCTGACTTTCTCAGGATCTGGGTTCTGGCATGTCACTTTACGCCTCACTCAGCAGCCCTCCTTGCTGTTTCCCATGCTGACTAGAAAGCCTTGCCTGGGCTCCAGCACAAGCTAATTTACCTCTTTCCCCCAGATTGTTATGATTATACGAGCAATACATGAAATTTAGAAAATAAGGAAAGTTAAACACACACACACACACACACAACTATAATCCCAATAGTTGCACACCTAGAGATAGGCACGGTCCATCTGTTACCATTCATTGTATCATAAGAATATATAACCATTATAGGTACAAAGTTTTGAATCTTGTGTTTTAGTAACATGGCATCATATGTATTTTCTCATGTCATTAAATAATCTTTGAAAGTCCTTCTTTTACACTCATTCCATTTCTACTTTTAATCACAAAATATACACTTGTAAAAGACTGAACAAGTGCAGAAAGATAAAGCACAAATGAAAGTTCCCATCAGTCACCATCCTGTGTGGACCCCTTCCCGGTGGACGACCGCTCTGGGCAGCTCCGACACTATCCTTCCAGACCCCTTTCTGCGTGTGTACATCCGTACATGCTAACAAACGAATAAATCAATTAGATATGCGTATCTTACTGCTGTTTTACAAAACAAAATCCTGCTCTGCATTCAGCTGCTTGTATGGGGAACTGCTCAGTCAGGGAAACACCACTATAATCACCATTCCCAGCCATGGCAGGGCTGTGACCACAGGTGGGCCTTTGAGTGTGGTGCTGAAATGCCAAGGCCATTGATAGCATTAATACAGCCACTGGTTAGTGACCTACTATGTGCTGTGTTAAATGCTTCACAAGCATAATCTCATTTAATCCTCTCAACAGCCCTGCTATACCCATTTTACAAATGAGGGCTCTAAGGAAGAGGCAGCATTGCAATTTTATCAACTGCACTCTTCACCAGTACAGTACCACCTCTTCATTCATTCATTTCCTCGTTTCTCTCCTGACCGTTCTGCAGGTCTGTAATACTGCAGGCCTTATGAATACCAGTGCAGACCTGTTCATTCCTCACAGAGGAGAGGAAATATGGCCCTATCACCGAGGTCGGAGTTTTCAAAACCCAGGCCTGCGCACTGGGAAGACTAGTCAGAGAGAAATAAATAAGGCACTAGGCCAATCCTGCCACTTCAGTGGATACGCCTCAGGCAAATGCATAATGGATGAGTCAGCAGCTTTGGGTGAGAAGCAACAAATTAACACTTTTTTTATTTTGGAACTTTCACTCGCATTCTTGGTAAAGCTTTGAGAGAACTGTCATCTATGAAAAGTACTTAGAAATGAAAAACATTTCCACTGAAGGGAGAAACTTTAATTTAAAATCAACTGTGAGAACTTAAAGTCACCAACTGTAATGGTGGCTATAAAATGTAAATTGGTGGTGTAGTTCCTCCCAATGCCTGTTAAATGCTCTTGGACTGAACCTCCGGCGTCCACTGCCCTGCAGGGGGACTGTTTGAAAGTGAGCCCAGGCAGCCTGAGCAACCTGCAAGTTTCCCCCAAAGGAAAAGTGGAACGAGCAGTAGCTTACATACCCTTGTCTGTGAGATTTTTTCGAATGACTAGAATAGTAAGAGTATCCAGAATACGTGGATTCGGTATCCATAGCAACGGAGAGCTTGCTCTTGCTGAAGGAGCAGGTACTGTTTCTCCTTAGAGGTAGAGAATCTCACCTACTGGACTCCTCCTCAGACCTCAAAGGGCCTGGGAATCAAGGACTTACTCTTCGGCAGGAACGAATTCTGGGAAAACAGGAAAAAAAAAGGATATCAACCTTCAAAGCCAAACCCGAGGGGCGAGAAGATAAGTGACAGCAGCAACCTCCTCTCTGGGGTCTCTATGATGGAACAAGTGAGCAAGGGTGAGGCTCCTGAGTGCTAAGTGCTCCACTCAGGCAGCAGCCAGCTTGCCCAGGTGTCTGGGAGGGGGACGGGTGGGTGCCGGGCAAAGCCCAACCCCCGCCCCGCAGCAGCGGGGAAACCGGAGGTGGGAGAGACCTGCCCCTTGGCCATCTCCCAGACACAGCCGGCCTTCCTGGCATCCCAGTCCTAGACACCGTGCCCAGCTCCCACTGCCAGTGTGCTGGTTACAAAACAATACCCAGGGAAGCAGCTTTTCAGGGATTTGCTCAGAGTTTCCGAAACCACTGGGAAGAAAAAAAAAAAAAGGTTCTCAATCTCTTTAATCCAGGAATCCAAACTCCTGAGAATTTATCTCAGGGAACTAATCTCCTTTTTTAAACGAAAAACTACTATTAGCACATTGTCTAAAATAGTGAAGAGCAAGAAACACTCTCAATGCCCCCCAAACAGAGGACTATGTCAGGGAAACATGATTCATTCACCCAAAGAAATATCATAGAGCTGTTTAAAATGATAATTACGAAGAACAGAAATTTGTATGATATAGTGATAAATTTAAAAAGCAGGCTACATACAGCACTGCAGATAGACGCTGAAATCTACATTCCAGTTACAATCACTTACGTAAGGACAAGGATGACAGAACATCAGAAAATGAAAGCAGGTGATTTATTAGCTGCAGGTTCCTGGGTCTTTTCCCACATTTTCATTAAATATTGCTATGCAATAAAAATAAATTGGAAATGTTTCCAAGTACATTCCTGAGCCCCACATGCTAAACCTTTACTTGGAGAGAAAGGAGTTCTACACCCCTCACCCCGGAGCTGGTCTCCACCCCACAGGGCTCCTCCTTCCAGGGCCCCTGGAAGCTGACACTGCAAACAGAGCCAGGGAGATCAGTGTGAAGAAAAAACAAAGAAGCCGCAGATGCCATACCTCTACCCCCACTGGGAGAAGGCCAAGGCTCCTGAGCAATGAATGACCTGCCAGCCTGGAGGGAATCACCCACAAACCACCACTGGCCAACACAGTCCGAGCCTCAGTACCACCTAGGTTGTTTGCCCTTATCATTCATTCCCTAGGGTCTGTCACCTAGGGCTAGCTAGCCTCCCTTTTCCTGATGTCCTGACTCATTATTTCATGTCTGCTCTCCTGCATGAACCCAAGGTGAGCAGTGTGGAGACCCGGGGTCTAGCTAGGGCTGCTCACTGTCAAGTACAACCTGGGATAAGTCACCTGCCTTCTTGAGCCTCGATTTCCTCATTTGTCAAATGGGGATAAACCCACCAGCCACGGACTTCACAGGGTTGATCTGTAGATATAAGCTGATACAGTATTAGGAGCTGGCTTCCAATCCCAGGCTTTACTCACCTGTTAGCTATATGACCTCAGTCAAATTATTAAACCTCTCTGAACCCACATCTGTAAAAGGTGAATAAAAGGGCTCATGCGAGAAACAAACAAGCTACAACTGTGACCACTCCCAGCACCGGCTCCGATACGCTGGATAAGGGGCATTTGGGGTTATCAAGACTCCCGCGACCAGTCCCCAACCTAGAGGCTCTCCTTGTCTCTCTCAGTAAGAGAAAGACACGGAAAGGAGCAAGACAGAGTGGGTGCCCGTGCTCACTTTCCCACCTGAGGCTCACCTGCGGCCAGACAGCGCTGGGCTTGCATCCCAGTGCAGTCCAGGGCTTGCTAACTAGCTGCGTTCCCCTCGGAGCCTCCGGTGTCCTCATCCGTAAAATGGAAATAAGGCAGCCTATTTCGTGGGGTGACTGTACAGCATCAAATGTGGAAAAAAACCCACTGTGGGCATTTTAAAAACATGTTAGTTTTGCTCTTGGACCTTCCCCCACTTTTCTAGAAGACTTTAAGAACAAGCTCATCTTTTTTTTTTCTCCCTACTCTTCCTCCCAGCATGTTCACTAGCAATTTCAATGAGTTTTCAGCACCTTAGACTCTCACTTCCTTTCTGCGCTGGGCTATGCTGCTTGTTCTTCTCCATACCTGGCAGACGCCAGCCTCAGGAGGTGAGCCAAGATCTCCAGACCTGCCCCGAATGAGCCTCTTTCCCCAAAGGTCCTTCACCCAGCTCTCTGCTGACCTGCAGGTTCCAACACCCGGCTGCCTGGCCCAGAAACCTGACTGCTGTCTTCTACACCCAGAATTGACCAACCACAACGTCTATACTTTTTTCTGCCCTCCAACCCATTAACTCTCGATTCTCTTTTCCATCCCAGCTTCTATCTATTTCCGGCTAAATGCTGCTGGGGTGTCTCAGAGGCAGGTGGCCCAGGCCCCGAAGACCTGGGTTGATCCTATTCACGCTCCCGGGCCGTGACACCGCAGGGCAGACACTTACCTCTCTGAGCTTATCTCCCCACCCTCCCACCACCGCCCCCGACACCTCTGTAAAATGAGGCCATTTAATATGATCTCTTCCTAAGGTTGCTGTTAAGCGTTAAAGGAAGCTCCCAAAATAAAGCCTCTGGCACATGCTAATGCAAATTTCATTCCCCTACTGCAAGAGGACGTCATCCTTAGTCCTCATTAAAACCTCCGGCCATCCGTTAAGGCAACTCCAGGCATGCCCCTCAAAGGAAATCATGGGCTCCCAAGTGCTGTTTGGGGGAAAGCTTTACCTCTACGCTCCAGCTGCCCTTGTCTGGTTTCTCTCTCACAATTCCTAACTATATTTATCAAAGGGGTGGTTTGCATATGCTGCCATTCCATCCCTCTTGTCACCCCAATCCTCCATCTTTGATGCTCCATTGAAACAGCGCTAAGTTGGCCAGAGATTGCCAGGAGCCAAATCCAAAGGTCCCACCCTTGTCCTCCTTCCCCCCAGACCTTCTTAACCCATGTATTCATTCATCCGCCTCCACGTTTAGTGGGGCTATGAGAGACCTGCTAGGCGATGCTAGGTTACAGCAATGACAATGGCACACAGCACACGGCTGCCCTCGCGGAGCTCTCTGCTGTCCGTCCTCCTCCGATTTGATGGTGTTTGTGCTACTCCTCCTCCAACAGTCCTCTCCCTCTCCCCCATCAAGTTATCTTTTAAGACTCAAAACTCACCCATTATTCTCCTCCGTCCATGGATTTACTCTAGGATAAGCTCCATGGAGACAGAAGCTACTGTTTACCTACCCCAGGATACACTGAACATAAGAGGAACCCAACAAATACTTACTGAAAGGATAAATCCCCAATGCACATTTCCTACTCAGATGCCTCTTGTTCCGCTTGGGATTCCCATCACCCCCGCGATGCTCTCCGGTGCCCCGGACTGTTCTTTTCAATTTCCTCCACTGGCGCCATGCAAACATCCTACTGACCCTATAGAGCCAACCCAGCACCATTTTCACAACTCTCTCCCCGCTTCAGCCCACACATTCTACTGTCCCTAAGTGCCCTCTGTCCCCTGTTATCCACCCCTCAGTCTCCCAGTTCTCAGGCCACCCACTTCCTCCAGGCTCCACGGACACAGGGCTAAACTATTCCAAAGCCTGCAGGTTTCCTCACAGAATCCAGTCTCTCGAGAGTTCGGGCCCCTTCTGCGTCACACTGTCTCTACCAGAGCTATCAATTCTTGTCCCAGATCTCAGTGAGGATTAAGAAGCAGCAACCAGAGGCAGACGGACAAAATCCAGGGCGAACTCATCTCAAAAGCCAATGGAAGGGTTTCGACATCATTAACAGAAAAACACATCCTGAAGCTTATCATTGCAGCAGTACATTTACAAGATAGTTCCCTTGTATGCACAAGAAATTAGCAGAACTCAGATAAGGTCAGAGGGAGGCCTTATCAGGAAGATAATAAAGTAAAGAAAAGGAATCAGGTTCTCTGGGTAATAAAGTGATAGGCTGCTGCACTGGCTTGAATAGGATAGGGTCACATAAAGGTGTAAATGTGGATCCTGGAATCTGGAACTATCGTCTATCACACTGACCCCTGACATGACCCAGACTGTGCCTGGCTCTGGTTGGACAGCTGCCAGAGTGATCTTTCAAATCACGACGTGGACGTCGCTTCCCTGCTTAAAACCCCTCCACGGTGTTCCGCTGCACTTCAAATAAAACTCAAAATCCTTCACTTGGTCTGCCAGGCCCTGCCTACCTCTCCAGCTGGGCTTTCCTTCTCTACCCGAGGTTCTCTAAGGCACCCGGCTCTCTGCAGCCTCAGTACATCTGCTCTACTCACTCTTCACCCACCTCATTTTGCCCAATTCCTACTCATCCCTCTCAGCTGAAATACAGCTTCTCTCAAGGGCCTTTCCGGTCCTCCGGCCTCACCTGGCCCTTTCCCACCTCCCTGTACTTCTTGATATCCCAATTTCCAATTACACAGGGACTGGCTCCTGCAGAGACAGTAAGCTCCACGAGGGCAGGGGCCTCTTTCATTACTCTCTCTCCAGCTCCTGGAGCACAACAGGCTCTCTGTAAATGTGTGCTGAATGAAGGAAGGGTTTAGGTGGCACAGATCGGGACGTGGAGCCCATAGGTTCACTGTGGAAGAAACCTTAGAGGTCGTCTATTTTAAATCCTCGGTTTTACAACCAAAGAAAAAGATGCAGAGATTACATTCCACAGTGACATCCGAACCACCAAGAGTGGAGCTGCTCTGCTGCTTGCACAAGTCTTACTCAGCGGCAAAGGTTATATGCCAGACACAGTAAGAACTGGCATCAGTCTCTGCCTCCCCCTGTCCTCCTGTCATTTATCCCTTCCGGGCTGCAAGCAAACACCAGGATAGGGCTAGAGCTTGTCAAATCACATCTCATGAAGGTCAGAGGGCAGTGTTGAGACAGGTTCAAGAGCACTTTTGACTAAGTGGCAGCATCTTAAATCTGGAATTCCCCAACAAAAATGTCAGAGAACCTCCTTCCCCCCCACCACCTTTATTAAAAGCAAAGTGGGGATCAGAGGCCTTGAAGAGAATCCGCCCCTAAAGTCACAATCACTCACAAAATATACCTGACTCCTACTTGAAAGGAAAACACAGTGTTCAGAAAATCATATGAGGGAAATAATATGTTATGGTAATGACAGTGGTAAACATAAGCTAACCTTCTCAGAAAAGGAAATTATAAAAATGTCAACAGCTCTGCCTAGAGCTATTAAGTGAACTTGGGTTGGAGGGTAGAAAGTTACCTTGCAAGGGGTACAGAGACACACGCTGAATTTAAAGAGCCATTCTACTCCTTCTGCAGTGGATATACTTCCAAGGGAAGCAACTGTGTTTATATATACTGTGCACATCACTTTGCATATTTGATTTTTATCATATATATAATTCTAAAGGGTTTACACCATTTATTATTTTTATTGTTTTCAAGCTAACATTTTTCTCAAGGTACCTGTTTTTAATTACGTGGCACTCAAGGGGAAAAGGATAATTTAGTTTAGTCAACTTTTCTTCTACAGGGGACAAGCAATGAGCACAGGTTTTGAAGTTAGATTGTCACTGTTCAAATCCTGGCTCTGCTACTTATCAGCTGTGTGACCTCAGATTAATTACTTAACCCTTCTGTGCCTGTTTCCCTAATTATAACAACAGAATTATATTTTACTTACCTTATAGGCTCAAGGTGGGTTAAATGAGATCATTCATAATCATTCAGACTAAAGCCTAGCACACGGTAAGCATTATTACTACTTAGTAAAGTTAAATTCCTTCCATTGGAAAGAATACCTTTGTAAGGCACATGACTTATGTATCATTTTCATTAAACTTATGTACTTTTTTTGGTCTATGTGAGTCTACTTTAATGAATCCCATTAGCTATAGTTAACTAATTTATTGATTTCCATTCTTTTCCTTGCAGGCCTTATTTTACCGTCCCCAGGTTAGAAGTGAGTATCAGAGAAAGCTCTGTGTGTTTTATTGGGTTTATCTGGAGGACCTCAGGGCTGTAAGGGAGGATGGGAAGAAGTATTTTGCTGAACTTGTGGTCTATAAACCATAACACATCATCCAGGCCACTGATGTGGGGATCAGAAGGATTGTGGCATTTGCAACAAACCCAGTGATTCTTTCAACAGTGCCCTTCTAAATGAGTGATTCCGGGCCACTATTCACAAGAAAAGAAAATGTCAACCTCATTTTACCAATGATTTCAACTCACCTTCCCAGAATATCTCCTCTTGGTTCCAGTCATCAATTACCTCTGAAACACCCTTAACAGCTGGGTATAGACTTCCAAAAGCTGTGAATGGTTAATGTGTCTGGAGTTCTTACGATGTATATTTGTTCTCAAGTGACCCCCGCCCCTTGTCCCCTGCCAGATTCTTAAGCTTCGGAAAAGTAATTTCGAAAATACTACCTCCCCTGTAAATTCCATGATGCAGGGTCCAATGACTGCTGTCCAATAAAGTGGTATTCAGAAGGACACCAATGGAGACAGACCTCAGCTGAACATACATGCACCTTTTCATCAGGCTTCAGGTGAGACCAAAGCCACTACTAGAAACATGGTCCAACCCCACGTCCACCTAATCCTGCCTTGTCCACCTTCTGGAAAATGGCACAGCATGATGCCCATACACAGCTAGTCCCCTAGCCACAGCTAGTTCACTTTATAGAGAGAGAAGGACCATAATAATCTAATGGCTCACAGTTAATCGAGTGCTTCATATGTATTAGGAACTGTTTTAAGTCATTTGCATATAATATCTCACTTAATCCTCAGAACACGCCTTATATGGGAGAAAAAATATGAATTTCATGTTACAGTTAAGAAAACCAAGGTGGCAAACCTGGTAAGTGCTGGAGCTGGGCCTTGAACTCTGAGAGTCTAATTCCAGAACCTGTGCTCTTGACTATGGAAACTATATAACAATGTAGCAATTACCAAACTCGTTTATTTACAGGGAGGAGGGGAGGCAACCATCACAAATTGTCCCAAACCACACAGAACCCACAAAGAATTCTGCAATTTCAACTCCTACTCACAGGTTCAGTGTCCCAAGCATTGTGGGGAGTCCAAAAGAAAAGAAATGAATCTGAAATAGTTCTAACTCCAAGGAGCTCACAGCTTAAAGGTAGAACCTGCCTATTAAAATACAATGTGATAAGTGCCCACTCAACCCAAATGCTGCTGAGGTCTGGGATAACAAACAGGGTGTGTGTTTGTGTGTGTTGGGGGCTGGAGGGGAGAATACCTTCCTCACTCAACATCTGTTTATTCTCCAGTGGACCAGGGTGACCTGGCATTGCTTCTTGGTCAGGAAACCTTCCTTTACAGTTTCATCCTTTTGCTCAAGTACACAAGGCAATGAAAATGTATTGCCTGGTAAGCAGTCCTTACAAACATGCCGTTCTCAAAATTCTCCCATTTTACTTACAAATT